GGAACAGTGCAATTTTTTTTTTTTTTTTTTTTTTTTCCAATTGACACGTTAATTTTTATATATTCAATAAAAAATATTTTTTGAATTTTTTTAAATTTTTTATGCTTTTTAGGCCTCGTTTGGGAACCTTCTCATTTAGCGAAAAAGTCAAAAAGTTATTAAAAAATCCAAAAAGCCAACAACCCATACAAAAAAGTCAAAGATTCTCTTTTCTCTCTACTTTTTGCCTTTTCTCTTTCTTAACTGACTTCAATTTTATAGAAATGAAATTAAAAACAAAATCAAAACCCATTATAATCATAAATATTTTGAAGTTCACCATTTATGAGTTGGAAAGTTCAAACAGAAATTTATGCCAAAAAAAAAAAACAAAAATTCACCAGATAACAAAGTTATTCTATATGCAATAATGAATAATTATTTCATGAAGCAAATAAAGTAATACACACATATACATTGACCAGAATTATTGAAAAACCTAGAATATTATACTCCCTTAATAAGGTATAAAAAAAAAGAAAAAAACATAAACTCTCTTGCCATATTACACATAAATGTTAAAATGCCAAGTTTTTCAAATTTTTCTTTTAATTAGGAACTCTAGATATTCAAAAAAATAAATAAAAAAAAAACAGTCCCTTTCTTTTTAGAATCACACAACAAATATACTACATTTGAATGGTGCAATTTTTTTTTTTTTTATTTTTTTTTGCAATTGACACGTTAATTTTTATATATTCAATAAAAAATATTTTTTGAATTTTTAAAAAAATTTATGAGCTTTAATAGAATTTTGAGTTGTAAGTTTTTGTATCAAATATCATATGTCACATCAAAAATTCAAAACTCTTTTCAAAACTCATTTACCAAACAAATTTTCCACACTCAAATCATAATTCCAAAACTTACAAATTCAAAATACAACTCTATTCTCAAATCATATTTAGAAAACTCTACCAAAGCAACCTAACTTTTTTATTTTCCGTATTTTTTTTTGTTTTCAAAGAATTTTGTTTAATATTTTAAGCAATATTTTTAATTTTTAGACACACCTAATATAAATACACTTAAAAAGTAGAATATTTGTGAAAAAAATCTTTAAAAAATTCACTAAATACCAAAAATACAAAAAAAAAAAGAAAATTTAGTACATTTTTCATATTTTTGTGTGTTTATTACTTTTTAAAAATATTTTTTTACAAATATTTTACTATTTAGATACATCTAAGTGAGGTGCATCTAAAAAAGTTTTTTTTTTACAAAAATTGCTTAAAATTTTAAAAATATTCACTAAAAACAAAAAAAAAAACGAAAAATAACAAACTCAATTTCCAGAAAATTGAATTCAGAAAACTAAAACTAAACAAACTGAATTTATATGTTAATTGTAAACTATGAACATTTATATTGTATTTTGGTATAAATTTTATTTTTTCAAAGGTTAATTGTGTGTTTGTTTTTTTGTTACTATGCTTCTTGGTTGAACAATCATTTTTTGTTACCATTGAATAATCGAAATAGTCACTTTTCACTTTTTTCATTTTTGTTTTATGTAGTTTAGTTTAGTTTAGTTTTTTTTTTAATGATAGTTGTATGTTATTTATAAACTGTGAACATTCACATTGTATTTTAGTATAAGTTTTATTTTTTTGAAGGTTAGTTGCATGTTTTTTTGTTAATTGTGAATATTCACATTATACTTTGGTATGCATTTTGTTTTTTCAAAGGTTAGTTGTATATTTATTGTTTATTGTGAATATTCACATTGTATTTTGATTTTTATTTAGATTTTTTGTTGTCTTATTTTTAAAGGGGGATTTGGTCAAAGCCTCATCATAATAAAAATTTAATACATTAAGAACAAACATAAAAACTTTTACTTAAAAAGTCTAACACATACCACTATTACTAAAATATTAAACTTTCAAATAATATAACTTTTGATTTAGATGTCGATTTTAATAAAAATAGTATTTTTAGAGTCCTCTCATTAAGATTTATCAAATAAGATCTATGTTAATTATGAATTTCTTAAATAAAAAAAATTATTACAGTCGAAATACTCATGTATGTGTGGGATTTGCATCATGAATGGTTCAGATTTGTGGGGGTCTTGTGGGGGTGAGGGTCTCAATCATTACTCAATTAGTATATGGCCCCGTTTGTTTTGGGGTGTAATGGATTGGAGGGGATTAGGATGGAGGTGAGGTTATTTAGTATTGTGTTTGTTTGTAGAGTTAGGGAAATGATTAAGATGGAGGAGAGGATTAAGATGGAGGTTGGAAGGGGGATTGGGATGGAGGAGGTGGAGGTGCAGGTGGAGGTGGTATTAGAAAAATAGTGAGGGGATTAGAAATTTTTTTTATTTTTTATATTTTTTACATATTGGTAATTTTTTTTAAGACATCAATGTTTAATTTTTTATATTTTTTTATTTGTTTTATTATTTTATATAAAAATAATTTAACAATTCCTACACTTACAACTATAATAAAAACAAACACAATTTTACTTAATCCCCTCACTATCAATCCCCTCCATTCTACCTCTAAAAACAAACGGGACTATAAGTATTAGAAATAGTCCCAAGTAAAAAACTTACCTTTTAATTTTTTTAGTATTTTTTTTTTTTTGGATTTTTTCAAATCTATATATCTATACTATATATATATTAGAATGTAGTACTGTTTTAGAAGGTTTCAAAATGTCATCCTAAAATTCTCATAAATCTATAAAATACGTGGCACCTCTCTTTTAAGTTGATAGCTCTTTTCACTCCCTCTCAAAGACTTTCTTAACAAAAAAAATTCCCTCAAAGAGTTTCACTCCTACTCTCCCACTACCCACAACTCCTATCCATAAAACAAAATTCCGATTGCACAATTTTATACATTAAAATGAATATACGTACACTCTAACTATGTAATAAACAAAATCAAAATTCCGATTGCACAATTTTATACATTAAAATGAATATACGTACACTCTAACTATGTAATAAACAAAATCAAAATTCCGATTGCACAATTTTATACATTAAAATGAATATACGTACACTCTAACTATGTAATAAACAAAATTTCTAATAATATATTACAATTTTATACATTAAAATGAATATACGTACACTCTAACTATGTAATAAACAAAATCAAAATCCCGATTGCACAATTTTATACATTAAAATGAATATACGTACACTCTAACTATGTAATAAACAAAATCAAAATCCCGATTGCACATACTCCGGGAGTTAAATTGCCGTATTATTATTATTATTATTATGTAATAAACAAAATCAAAATCCCGATTGCACATACTCCGGGAGTTAAATTGCCATATTATTATTATTATTATTATTATTATTATTATTATTATTTGAAAATAGATATGAGAAAAAAGAAGAAGCTATGAAGGAGACTATTGATAATGTTGAGAATTGCTGTCAACGGAAAAAAAAAAAATAAATAAAAATATCCAAACAAATCTATTACTCTCCCAGCTCAAACAAATCTCTCATATCCTCAAACACCCACTCTCTCACTATCCTACAACAGATTGATATATTAAAAAAAAAACCACCCATCTATCCATATCCCCTTAAACCATTATTTCATCAACTTCATTCATGAGCAGTGAACCCAACAGTCCGCCATTGAAGGCAAGTCTTGATTTCTCTTTTTCTTTTGTTTTAATAATTTGCATTGTTTTTAAAAGGTAAAATTTGTTACCGTTGCTTTTTCATTCTTTGCAGAACTTTCTTTCTGTCTTATTTTTCTTTGTTTTTGTTGTTTTGATTTTTATAAAGCCTTCATGTTTCAGGATAGGTGTGGATTATGTAGGATATTGACAGATTCTTTTAGTCATAGAGAGTTTCTTCGTCCATTGTAAAAGGTAACAATGGTTTATTTTAAATTTTTGATTCTTTTGCATGTCAATATAATCATGTACTTGCCGTTCAAAAATATATATATATATATATATATAATCATGTACTTTTCGTTATTGGTGAATATTGTATAGTTGTAGCTGCTATTCATTTACTATTTTTTAAACCATTATTTCATCAACTTCATTCATGAGCAGTGAACCCAACAGTCCGCCATTGAAGGCAAGTCTTGATTTCTCTTTTTCTTTTGTTTTAATAATTTATTTTTTTCTTCAAGCATTTGAGATTTTGTAAACAAATCTGTTTACCCTCCCACCTCAAACAAATCAAGTTGTCAACGAAAAAAATAAAATAAAAAAACTATCCAAACAAATTTGTTACTTTTTTTTCTTATATACAGTTCACAAGGATGTATAGTATAGATATATATATATATATATTGAGAAAATTGCAAGGAAAACTGGATGCTTTTACCAAAACCACACCCCTTAAATTTTCTGCCTAATATTAAAAAGTCAAAAAACACCCAGTATTTTTTTTGGAAATAAATTATTTTAGTTAATTTTTTAATTATTTTAATTTGATTAAAAAAGTTGTATTTGGAATGATAGTTGGGTTTTTTTTATAGTTGATTTGATGATTATGAGAGAAAAAATAAAATAATTATGCTTTGAATGTGACATTTTATCTTATTGATTATTTTAGTCTATTTTATCTTTATTGGCTATTTTAGCCTAAATCTAACTTCCCAAGCAGGGCCTGATTCTCAATCAGTTGACTTCATAAGTTTAATTTATCATCTAACATGACACATTCACAATTCTTAAGGTAATAGGTTTCACATGAACTTTATTAATATCTAACAGTTTTCAATGTTTGGTAATCTAAACCAGTGTAGCATTATTGTAACTGAAAATGGGCTAACAAACTTTTGTCCCAAAAATCCTCTGTTTCAATCAACACAGTGGTTTGATATGAATCAACTTTTTTGAGTGAATTGGGACAAAAAAACTAAAAGGTTTTTTTAACAAAGAATCCCTGCCCTGAAAATGAGTATCCTTATCCCAAAAATCCTTTGTTCCTCTTTCCTAATTCATTTACAGTCCTTGAATCACGTGAAAGTGGGACTGCTCACAGGTGATTTGCGTAGCATTGGAGGAGACATTGCAGGAGCAGATAACGGAGAATGCATGGGTGTGTGAGCTACACTTTTAGGTGGTGGTGAGGAAACAGGGGTGATTGGTGAAGCATGCGGTGGACTTGCAGGAGTTGCTGTTGGTGGAGGGGTAATTTTGGAAACTGGGGAAGCCCGTGGTGGGTTTGTAGGAGTTGCTGTTGGTGGAGGGGTAGCTGGGGAAGTTGGCGGTGGTGCAGAAGTTGCAAGCGTGTCAATCTCAAGCTTCATTCCTTGGGCACAATGCCCCGGGGTTCCACAGATGAAATATCTCTTTCCTGGAGAAGGGAGAGCAATGACTGTGTTGGTGCCAGTATGCGTCTGAAGCGGGTTACTAGTCTGGCAGGAGTCATAGTCAGCCTTCGTAACTTCAAGCACAACATGGTTTGGTGTGTACTGAAAAACTGCAATTTAAGAGCATGTCAAAGATTATGTCAAATGGTAACACAATTACGTTTCTATCTAATATTTCATCTAGAAGAAGCTGAATCTGTGTCCAAATCCTCCCGTCCCATTCCAAGCCACCTATTTATCACACGATGGGTCCTTCCTACCAAATTGTGTGATGGAGAGGAGCTTGCAGATAGGGTTACAGGGGGATCTAGATAGAGAATCATCTGTTTCAAAATTTTGTACTTTACAAGTAACCGAGGTTGGTCAATGTTAAAAGATCAGAAATGAATATGAACACTTACCCAAACTGTCTCCGGCAGAAAATGATTGTGACGATGCCCATCCTTGCAGGTTGGTGGTTAGATCCCAGCCACCATTGGGAGATCCAACAGTGTAACTTGTTGCCATGGCTACATTGATGAGCATGCCCGTAACAGCCAAACCCACTAGTGTTCTCAGCATTGCCATTTCAACCACAATGTGGAATTCAGAAAGCAGAAGTAAATTTCAGAGGAAATTGTATGCGTTTCGGTTCTGCGTTAGGAATTGAATTCCATTTATATACACAGGAAGGCACAAAAGACAGAGTGCTTTCACAATGAAGATAATATTAGTTTTATCCATGTCTTGCTCATTTTAATTAAGTATTATGAAGACATGCCACCGATAGGTTGTTTCTTAGGAACTTCTCATCTCACCGTATTTTTCTAACACCTTCAATTTAATGTTTATTTATTTTTGGTCTATTGTTTACCAAGTTGGTAATTGATGTAGAGTAGTTTATATAATTGTGATATTTGACTTAGCTTAGGTACACATTGGTTGACTTGGTTTTTCTGGATTCTTAAGTTTAAATGAACATGCCAAGTGGTGGAGGTGGAGCGTAATTCGAGCATTCATCAACTTCAAAGGGAGGAAACATTCTTCCCATATTCTCAAATCCTGAGGTGCGCTCTTAACTAGAAATTAAGCTGGTTACCAATCTGACATGTTTGCTGCATTTGTGCACATGTTTGGTGAACGGTCACCTTTCATTTGATATCAGTCACTATTGCCTATATATTGGTAAATATCAATGTCGAAAGTTTAAAATTTGGATATGTATTTGAAATCCTGAGGTTATTGGTGTGCTTATGGCTCATTTTATTTTAGAAATTTGTGTAATGATTTAAAAAAGTTCAAATAAACACCGACTATTTAGATTAATAGTGTGGAGATGTTTCTAACTTCAACATTCAGATTATCACTTGTTAGAACCTCGACTTCATAATTTTGAGAGAGATTTTTTTTATTCTCTTTCAACTTCTTGTTTTTCCCCAAACATAAAAAAATAAAGTAAAAAATATTGGATTAATTACATCAAGACCTTATCAACCATTAATCTCTTAATTATGAAAGTCGTACAAATATATCCTTTTTTAAGGTGGTCTGAAAGGAGTGAAGATGATATATTTTTATAATTAAGAGTGTCAAAATATGTAGATTCATAAATAAAGAAGATAAATTAATATTCATTAATAATTAAAAGGTGTTGGTGTGATTAACTCAAAATAGTTTATAGAGTAGATCCATGCGGTGTGGGGAAAGGGAAGACTTTTTGTAGAGGAGTTCATCCAATCTATGAAACCAACTACCATTTGCCAGAATGAAAAATAATTGTATACCAACTGTTACATTTCTATACCTCTGATCCACAACTTGAAGACAACTGTCACCCCCAAAAAATTGAACCTTCAAGCCCTTCAATTTTTCCAAATTTGGACTTTCTATACCTTATATCTGATTTTTAGAATAAATTAAAAACACAGAGATTTATGAAAAATATGGATTTTCTCCTCACGTTATGAAAATTATAAATGCCCCATAGCTAGATTTTTTTCTACAAATTGACCTAACATGGAAAAAAAAAGTTGTCCAACTACTCTCTTATAACAAAATGAAAACTAACTTAATTTTCATCCACCCTCCAGCAAATCACAATAAGCACAACCTTATACTTAAAATTTGTGAAGATGATATAGTTGGAAACATTTTTTAAATAACGGTATGCATATCGGTATCGGAATCGGTGGTGATACAGTTATGGCATTGATTTGGCAAGAAAGCAGAGCCATAAGAGCCGTGTTGAGGCCTAATATGAAAATAGTAAGCAATAGGAACACTATATGTTTGCTAGAAATGTCATCAAGATGAATGTAGTGTATTGCTATCAAATTACGTTCTCCACATTTTCTGGAAAAAAAATTATGGGTTTGTAACATTACTAATATGAAAATAGCATTCTTAACCCTAAAGCCAGGTCTTGAAAAACACACACACAAAAAAAAAAAAAAGGACTTGGAATTTGTTATAAAGATATAAATTTATGCACTTCAAACAAGTCCAACAATGTTGGTTAATATGACAAAGTGGGTTTTGCTAATAAGTGTTCTTGATACAGGAAAAACACTAAAAGGGCGAAGAATACGCGATATTGTTTACCAAATTCAAAATGCTTTTCTAAGATTTCCAATTATATGAGAAGAAGATGAAAGATGTTATATGGGAGTGGGAAAGTTTGAGGGAAAAGAGTCATTTTTTTTTGTGATTTTCCGGAGAGTAAGAGAGGACAGGCAAATAGATTTTGGGTTTAGGTGAGGTGAGGATAAAGAGTAGAATGGTATTCAGTACATGCCACCTCGCATTGTAGTAATTATGCACCAATAAGGCACGTAGAGAGTGCAAGCCAGTATTAAGTATTATGAAGACATGCCACCGATAGGTTGTTTCTTAGGAACTTCTCATCTCACCGTATTTTTCTAACACCTTCAATTTAATGTTTATTTATTTTTGGTCTATTGTTTACCAAGTTGGTAATTGATGTAGAGTAGTTTATATAATTGTGATATTTGACTTAGCTTAGGTACACATTGGTTGACTTGGTTTTTCTGGATTCTTAAGTTTAAATGAACATGCCAAGTGGTGGAGGTGGAGCGTAATTCGAGCATTCATCAACTTCAAAGGGAGGAAACATTCTTCCCATATTCTCAAATCCTGAGGTGCGCTCTTAACTAGAAGACCACGGGACGAAGAGGCCATATTCTGGGTAGCTGAACGAGAAGACGAGGCCATGTTATGGGTGGCTGAGTAACGGTCTGTTACGCACCGTTACGTAACGGTTCCAAACTGTTTCTTTCGAAAACACACACACAAAAAAAGTTGAAAATGCAGAAAGAGGGATAGAGAGAAGATGGAAGATAAAGAGAGAAGATGGAGGAACAAGAGATAGAGAGAGAAGAGGGAAGATGAAGAACATGTTATTGATTTGTTTAATCTGAAAGTTTGCATGAAGCTTCGTGTTTTTGTGTTTGTTCTCACTAGATCTTGAATATGGGTACCCAGGTCCATACTTTTGAACTCCTAGCATGAAATTTCAGATTTTGTAATAGCAAATCACGATCTTTGCATTTATCTCCTCATGTTCATGTCCTTCATGTTCATCATGTTCTTCAAGAAAGGGAAACCCAGATTTTTCCCGACTTCATTCCGCTGAATGTGACCATCGAGGCACACCTCGGCAGGAGGTATGGGACCTCGGCCTAACCTGGTAGTTCACTCAGCATGTTTTTCCGAGATTAAGAAATTGTGTTTGTTCGATTTGACTTTAGTCTTGGGGAAATGCCAGAGATCATCTGCATGCATGTGAAACTTGTTGAAAGTGCATTCAATAAGACTTTGCCATGTGTTGTTAGCGTTTGGACTTGCCTCGACCCGACGTTTGAAGAACTAAATGAGTGGTATTTTTAATAAAGCTATGTTAAATGTTTGATAAAGTCTCGTTTTGCTCCGTTTGAGAAAGTATTTGTAAGCATGAATGGTTATTCCTAATTGGAAAATATTTATACATATCTTGTTTTGATGACATTCTTGGAAAGTCCGTATGTGCTAAGGGACTATAAGCACACTTGTAGCACAAAGTTTGGAAGCCCGTACGTGCTAAGGACTATAAGCACTTGTAGCATAAAGTTTGGAAGTTTGTACGTGCTAAGGGACTATATAGCATTAGTAGCACAAGTCCTTAGTGTCCGGTGGACTATAATGCAACGACACATTGAATTGAGATACCTCCCTTGTCTTGCTTGTCTTGTCTTGTTTGCCACTGGACGTTTACGTGTGGGTCTTGTTGTCGAGATGTCATCACTTGTATTATAATGATTTAGTAAGCATCCTTTGAAACTTGACAGATTTGCTAGATGGACTTGATTCATCTTTGACTTGCACTAGTTATGTTTTGTATTGTTTAACAAGATTTGAATACAGTCATGCAAACCCTTTATTTCTTTATACCATTCACTGAGTATCCAAGCTCACCCTCTCTATATATATGTAGGTGATGAGCAGGAAGGCGGTGACGCCTAGTGTGACTCGCAAGCTGTTTTGGGTTTGTTATGTCGGCTTAACTTGCATACACGCGGCAGTCTTGAAAATTATGCTTCTCGGCTTATAATGCTTGTTAATTTACACATGTCGGCTGAAGAAGCCTTTTGATCAAGATGTAAAATGTATTTTGTACTTTATTGTATTTGTACACATTGGGTAATACTTATGTAAAGTTGTATGCATTCCATGTAACTCTACCACTACTCTTATGCGACCACTTGCTACTTTAACATTTTCGCTTCTGCACTAGTGAGCCCCATACTATATATATATATATATTATACTCGTATTGTGTATGAATTTTGGAAGTTGCCTCGGGTAATCACGGCACCAAAACTACTAGGGGCGGTTTGGGTGCGTGATAGAATTGTGTATCAGTAGCCACGCTT